AATGTATATGCAGGATCTCATCTATCAATGTGTCACTCGTGCATATTTTCCGCGCCCTTGAGAACAAACATTTCACTCACCAGGGAACGTTCATACTGGATAAGAGCAAAACTGGTGAAATGAAGATATTGTCCACTCCATGTCTGTTTACGAAAAACAGATTGTTGAATCGTACTATCATCTCTCCTAGTCATTGTAATATCCAGGAATCCGAGTTTGTTATTCGATTCTAGTTCGGAAGTCACTCGAATATTTGGATGCATATGATTGAACAGAAAGGAATACCAGCTTACAAGAATCTTAGGAAAAATTCATCGATAGCTGCACATAGAACATGGGACAAAAACCACAATATCGATTGGATTAATGTGTTTATTCTAAATATGAATTAATATGAAAAGATGGAAGGAAAGACTCATAACAGAATCGATATTCATCAAAGTCACACCCCACACATGTAACTAGGGTGACTCAGCAGCACAACTGTCACCAACCTGAAATATAATTCTGAATACACAAAAATGAATGAACAAGGATATATATATATATAAGTTGTGAATTACATGGTACTCAACGGAACAAAGATAGAAGTTTGATAAGGTTAAAATTGCTCTTTAGTGAGAATAAGGTATTTGAGTGTCAATCTAACAAGTGATTCACACCATGATACACCCATTGACTGGCTATTGGTTTTCAAGAGAACCAAACACACCCATCCCTGCTTCTTGCGAGACGAGAACGGCCTGCAGGATCAACCTGTGGCGCAGCCACTCGAGAGCCCTCTCCCACGGTGGTGACGGAGGCGCTGGCAATTCATCAATGCAATCCTGAACTTTGTATACAGAAAACGTTTGTCCAGTCTCTTATTCTACTACCTTGGTCTTAACCTCTTCACTAATCGTTCCCTGTAAAAAAATGTTTTGATATTTTCTTTTGTTCTTAATTTTTAATTTTACTTTTAGTTTGCTTTTGCTTTAATAATTAATTCACTATTATCACAGTCATATGCTCCTTTTGTATATTTTCACACCCTCTTCACACTTTTTAAATTGACACTCAAATATATGAAATTAATAAAGAGGTGAGAGGTGAGAAAATAGACGGCTTAGGTCAAGTTAAAAGGAAATATTCAAGGTCAAAATAACGATGAAGATCAGTCATTAAACCTAATAACAGAGGTAATAGTATATCTATTCCTGCTGGTATCAAAACAAAATTTACCGAGGGAGGTGGTGTAATGTGATGAAGAATTGTTGCTTTGATCGTACAACGGTGGTTTAAACTTACTAATTGCCATCTACGGCTTGCACAAACTTTAGTATACCCTCTTCCAAACACCTTTTATAGAAAGGTGTGAAAGATCTGTTAACGTCAATTTTATGTCCTGTCTCCTCTATAATATGTTTTGCAATAGAAGAGCTAGGTGTCTTGTTCTCACCATTAATAGGTTCTGAAGATTCCATTTGTTTTTGGAGCCATTTAGGAATATGCTCTGAAGCCAGCCCTTACTTGCAGAGATCGATTTACCAATTTGAATGTACATGTGGAATTGTTGGAATTGTTTTTATTCACTCATTTATAATATGTACTCATATATATATATATATATATATATATATATATATATATATATATATATATATATATATATATATATATATATATATATATATATATATATATATATATATATATATATATATATATATATATATATATATATATATATATATATATATATATATATATAAGTTCACACTTGTGCTGCTGAGTCACCCTAGTTGCATGTGTCCAGTGTAACCTTAATGAATATAGATTCTGTTATTAGTAGTCTCTCTATCCATTTGTTCATATTAGTTCATATTTAGAATACACACATTGGTCCAATCGATATTGTGGTGTTTGTCCCATGCTGCATGTGCAGCTATCGATGAATTTTTCCCAAGATTCTTGTAAGCTTGTGTTCCTGTTGATTGACCTTTAGTCGTTTAGGGCATTAATGTTCATTCACTCTTATTTTGAGGGATCTGAACGTGTTTGCCCCACATATTTAGTCGGACAGTCAGTTGGCACAAGATATGTTTTAAATCACATTGTTTTTATCCATCATTTTTATGGGATCTTTCAGTGGATTTATTTTATTTTTGATTAGATTCATCGGTTTAAACGTGGTGCGAATCCCGAAATTTTTAAGGTTTCTTTGAATCGTCTGGCCTCTGATGTACCATTTTTGTATGGTACAGGCCACTGCCGACTTTTATCAACAATAAGCAGAATCTCTTGCTTCTATACTGGAGATAAGGCAGCTAGCTAGAAATACGCTAGGCATAAAGGAACTCTAGCAACAGACCGAACAAGAACAACAAGTATCTGAAGGAAATGAAGACAAATGAGACACGGGATGACAAGACTATCGATTAACATCATGTGACAGTTGCTCGAGTGGAACCCGGATCTGAAACCAATAATTGGACCCAAAAAACATTCGCATAGTTCTAGCGAGAGATTGAATAACTGTCTGGACTCCTACCTAGGCTGGAGCTGGCAAGTACCTTAAGAGGCCGCCTGTCCTCCCTCGCCGACGAATCTTTGATTTGAAGTCTAATCCACAAGGTTTTGAGGGCAATGAGGGTTGGGAAATTGCATTCGCGTTCGTTGCTAGTAACTAAAACAGGTTCGTAAACTATTCAGTCCATTCAAAATCTAGGGATCGGTGGTTTTCCGGCCCTTCACCCCACCAGTCCCTAGGTAAACCAACCTATACACCTGTCTGGTTGTAAGCGCTAAATGTTTACAATGACTTAATTTGTGGATGGTGACTAGCAGTGGAATCCAGGATGCACATTTAGACCTATTTAGGACTCGTCAGCTACCTGGATTTACCTGCATTTCCCAGTGGGTGATGATGTTCCCACCGAAGCTCTAACTCAGTGCCAATAGTTTCAAACACACACACGCAGAACATCGATTGTTGTTTTAGGCGAATCTCAATAGCCTATGCTGTTCCGTAGGGCATTCGGCACCTGGATGCTTTTCACAATGATGGAGAAGGATTCTTCAATGCCAGTTGGCTCCGTGAATGGTTTGATCCAGATAGTTTAATATTTAAGAATTTAACATTAAATGTAGGTTCCTGGCGAGTATGAGAAATCCAGTTCCTAGAGCGACGGCCAATATACCTCGCTCCACGACAGTGACACCTGACGGCCGTAAATACAAACAGATGTGGCAAGTCTAGTCTATATACTTCATCTTTCAGTCGAGGAATCACAACTGGTCGTGTACAAGATAAGACTTATATTTAAGTGTTGGTTTGTAGGGATTAGGTTGGTTACAGGATTTCATCATGAGCTGACATCAGTCAGAGGAACATTGAAAAACCTGCCACGGAGTACTGGACAGCTGTTTCGTCAGCCTAGTTTGCGACTATACAGCAGCACGCACCCACCGGGTGTCGAGCCTAGGACCTTTCGGTTACAAAGTGAGCGACCTCGTACACCATTAAGCCACTGGCAGTCGATCCAATGGACAGCCAATGAATTATAACTTCTGCTAATTCATGACATAGTGCGACCACTTCGGAATGTCTTCTTCTTCTATGAGTCACTACCTCACCCTTGCCCTACTGTTAACACTAGGATGCAGCAGGCTGAGTGTGAGGATAAATAGGTGCCGAAGACATTGGCTATTTCGCGAATTGGTGGAAGTTAGAATTCATGGGCTGGCCGTTGGATCGGGTCCCTGTAGTTTAATGATGTACAAGGTCGCCCGCCTCGTAACCAGAAGGTCGTGTGTTTGAACTCCAGTTGGTGCGCACTGCTGAAGAAAAAGCTGTCCAGTACTTTTTGGCAGGTTTTCCAATGGTTCTTTAACCAATGTCAGAATATGACTAATAGTTTAAGAGTATTAAAAGTTCTTTGAGCAGATTTTCTTGACATGTTAGGTACTTATTTCATCGCCTCGGTACATCACCCTTGATTTGTAGTCGTATGTATAAAAAAGGCTTCTTATTTACAGGATGAAGAATTTGTCGTTTTCCGCATTCTTGGTCGTATAGTTTCTTGGTGATCTACTCCGGACAGCTATTTTCAGTTAACGGGGTGTCAAATACAATCAACCCTAAGTTCATCTTCACTTATTTCTTCTGAGCATATAGCTGCAACTCTGTGTGGTTAAGAGTTCTTACTAAGTTTCGTTCGTAATGGAGAGGAACAGAGCTATATGCAAATGTATGCATTGTCCTGTCCTGTCCATATGCTTTTCTTTGGGCAAATTTCTCTTTATAATGCCCTCTGGGATTTTCTTATAGGAAAGACATCTAGGAAGGTGATTAATCCTCCTATTTTGGGATTCCTCCTCACATATGAATATTACATAGCCAAATGTACTTTTGTTTTCGTTTCGTTTTTTTATTTCACGTTCCCCAGTGGAACATAAGGCTCCAAGCTAGTGGCTTAACGTTTCTGTAGAAGTGTTTAATTTTAACAGGATGGGGTTGCTAGCCTCATGCCACCAAACCTTCCCGCTTTACCAGTCTCACTACTGACTTAGCGAGGTAAAGGAGTGCGTCCACTGGCCATGGATCGAACCCCGGACCATGTGCATGGTCAGTGAACGCGTCCTAACCGCTCGCTGTGCCACCGACGCTGTGTTGAGTAAATTAGATGCAATATTGTAACGAATTCTAAACATTCCATACTATATAATAAGTACTATTCTCACTATACCCCGCATGTCTGTCGTGTGATAGTGTGATCCCCACAAGGACTGGAGCGTCTCAGACAATGAAACGTTGTCACAGAGGTCACCTACTCAATATTGTATAACATTGTCACTTATTGAGGGACACAGACTGACCCCCCAAAACAAAATTGAACGCATTCGCCTTCCAACCAACCCCCACACCACCACGGCACACTTTGGATTCCAAATAATAAAACAGAAATGCAAATTTAAAAACAAAATCGATACACTTTTGAGATGCAACTCCATCAACTTACCAGCAATTACTTTAATACATTCAATGTCCAATGGATAAGGCGCTGGATAGTTTGGTGTTTGAAAACTATACTCCACTGAACGTTTCGGTAAACCAGACATACCAAAAAATCCACCCAGCATTGATGGATCTTTAACATATTTTATCTCTGTTGATTGAATAAATTCAGCACATTTCTCATCTTGATAAGGATGTGTATAATCTGGAGTGGATACTTCTTCAGGCGGTGGAGATTTCACTGGATGACTACGACGTTCAATTCTTCGCGGTTTTGACATTTCAATGTCTTCAATAGGATTTATTTTCACGCGTATAACTGATTGATTTGTATTATTGATTAGGCTAAATAATTCAAATTGTGATAAATTTCTTTTCTGATTATTGAAAGACACATTCGAGTAGTAATATTGATATAAATCATTACTAAAATATTGATTTTTATTCTGTGTAGTATTAATTACTGGTTGGTTTGTATCAGCTTTGTTTAAATTTAATAAAATCAATAATAACTCCATGCATATAATCCATTTAAAATAACTGATAATAATTGTTGTTGTTGTTTTCCAATTGATTAATTGATGACACCAACGACATTTTATCAGCATAATTTTAATAAAAAACATTCTGATAGTAGCTTCGACAATGATATGTGAAAACCTAAATAATAATGAAGGGAAATATACGTGAATATCAAAGTGTTTGTATAAATAAAACCAGAATAATCAATTAAAGAAATCATTAAATCGATATATTGTATAGAATATTCTCTGATTGATGATTTCCAGGTGTCAACTTCTTCTTCTAAGCCTTTAGGAATATTAGAAATCAGAATAGTAATCAAAGATCTTCTTGACAGGGGACTTTTTTGTATCAAAAATATATAAACTACTTAAATAAGTAGCTAACTTCTATATTAGATAAGTTTTTTGTTTCGATGACGCAGTATTATTATTATTATTATAAACGATTGGATGATAAGGTTTCGAGGATAAATTATAGCCAGATATAGTCAGTCATCATATCTCGACCGAAACAGGCTGGATTCAGGAGAAACTAGTCATGTATTGATCAAATCGTCACACTACGGCTCATCGTTGAGCAAAGTTTGGAATGGCAGTCACCTCCCCAACTCACTCAACTTCATCGACTTTGAAAAAGCCTTCGATAAAACAGCGTCGACCGAGAGGTGATTTTGCAACTACTTCGCTACTACTACCAAGGGGTTCCACCGACAATTATACATCTCATCCAACAGTTGAACGACAATGCTGCGAAAACCAAATAATCCATAACAGGAAACTTACGGAATCCTACGAAGAAGTGAAGACGGGAGTAAGACAAGTTGGCTGCCTACTATCAACAATGATTTTCCTGATTGGAGTAGATTGGATAATACAACAGACAGACAGACAGACAACGGGAAATGAGGAAACAGGCATAAAATGGACTCACACAAAAAGAGAACTTGGAGGATCTGGACTTCGCCGATGCGATATATGTCTGATTTCCCACAAACTGGAATATATGCAAGTGATGAAAAGCAACAAGTTGGCGACAGAAGAAGCATCCAGAGAAGATAGGACTTCACTTCAAGTGAACATAGAGAAAACAGAGGAAGGTGATGAAGATTTCTGGGAAACACCAACAGCAACAGTAAGAACAACAGACACCAATCAGTCAGCAAAAATGGGAGGAACCTGAAAGAAACAACCTCCTTCACTTAACAACCTACCTACCCACCTATCTACCTACCTACCTACCTACATACCTACACGCCTAACTGGTCAGCATTGTTTCAACTACAGGTCAACGGAACTGACGAGGATATCAAAGCAAGAATCGGAAAAGTGAGACTTGCTTTTGATTACTCTGAAGTCTGTGTGCTGGTCATCACACAGCACTCAGCATCAAAAATAAGATCTGAATTTTCAACTCCAATGCGAAGTCAGGCAGTGCTACTCACCATACGGATCAGAGACTAGGCGTCGTGTCATGAACAGCACCTCAGACAAACTACAGACCTTCATCAACAGCTAGCTGTCTTCTCTCAGTACTCAAGATCAGATGGCCAGAAAATATCAGCAACAGGGATCTCTGACAGTGAGTGAACCAACTAGGAACCGATTGTGCAACAAATAGGCAGGAAGAAATGGAGGTGGATTGGTGGACATGCTCTGAGGAAACAAACCATCAAGTGACATCACTAGACAAGCCATAGCTCGAGTGGAACCCGAAGGAGAAGCGGCAAGTTTTTCGTCTCACGGTGGGGTTACTTGGAGCAGTAGGTCATGTGAAGAGGAGATGAAAGCATGTGGGCAGACTTGGAGCCAGGTGAAAACTCTAGCAGAGAACCAAACGCATTGGAGACTTGGGCGTCTGAAGCCCAATGTTCCTCTGGAAACTAAAGGAAACAATAATAATATAGTAATCATGCGTTTTCAGTGGAACGTAAGGCTAGAGCCTTGAAGTTTCAGTAGTAGTGGTGTCGCTAGCCCCATGTCCTACCTTCCTCCTCCCTTGCCAGTCTTATTACTGCCTTTTCGAGCGAGGTAAAGGAGTAAGTTGGTAACCCGGAGATCGAACCCCGAAACACACAAGAGGCGTGGTCGGCTAGTGAGCATTCTACCACTGTGCCACCGACGTACTCACCTGTCTATATCACATTCTTGGTACTGTCATCCTGTCCAACCAACCCCATTTTGTGATGACATGCAAGTGAATGGTTGAGCTCTGTTTTTTCTAGGTCTTTATGTTTTGTTTTTTTAATAATCTAGTTGACCCCGATCTACTAGTTTAACTTCGTATGATATAACTGAGCCCACTGACAATCAGTGTACATGGTATTTGGAGAATTATATTATTTTTAAATTGACTAAAAATGGTCATTAAAATTTCTACAAAGATGATTGCTGAACGGAAAATATTCACATTTTCGATGACCTGCCTGCTCTTCACTATCAGAATTTACAGTCATGTATACATAATAGTAGTGAATGTATTAGTGTTATGAACAACATTAATGTTGTTTAAATAACATCGAATCAATAATAATAATAATAATAATAATCATGTGAATGGATTACAGTTCAGAGAAATTAGGAAAAGTAATAATAATAATAATAATAATAATCCGAATTCATGAATTTATAGTCTCCACAGACGGCCAGGGCGATAATAGGGGCTGGCTGTAGATGTTTCTTCTGCACACATACACACATAGGGCACCGGTTGTTTAAGGCGAATCGTGATAGCCTTTGTTGTTTGGAGTATACCGTACCTGGATGCGTTTAGCAGTTTGTTTGGTACCCGAGAGGCGATGATGTGGCTGATTGGGACCAGGTGGTTTAATATCGCCCTGCTGACGGTTTTTACTTCATCCCCGCCTCCTGTTTAGCCACACTGATGAGTGTTCTTGAACCAGCACAAAAAATCATGTTCCTAGAGCAACGACCAATACAAACGCAGTGGCTAGTCGAGTCTAGTTTAGATACTTCATCACTCAACGGAGAAAACATACCATCGGTGTTAATTGCATCTATTGCGTTCTTAAGCCAAGAAAGTTTATCTATCTCTGAGTTAGTGGAACAGGTGGCTGGTTCTTATATGCCACCCAGACTAATTCCAGCCTCACTGAGACTCCTACTTAAAACCTCTGAAGACGTTCTTTTTTATACGGCAGTATCAAAGTATATTGCAGCCGCGTGCCTAAATTGACATGATTATGAGTGACAATAATTTATGCTAGAAACCTGTGTGATAATTAAAATACAAAGTTATCTGATATGGAAATCAAATTCTACCTCAATGCCCAGGTTCTACACTTACATTAATACGTGGCTATACATTATATTACGAAATCAAAATGGCGTATACTCGGGGAAAGTTGGCCTTGGGAGGGCTGCTGAATGGTAGGTTGTGCCAGAAAATGGTACTACTTCCTGTTCTAAACTAGAAGAATTTTGTCACTTCTTCTGAAAACCAGCGTATGTATAGTAGCCCAGTCACCGAGTGTGTCAGTCAGTGTATATTAGTGTGTTGTGCATGGATGGTTAATCAGAGGCATAATATCTCCCCTCCTCTAGACGTCACATCCATAGTCTGGAGTTCGATTCCCCGCCGACCAACGTATTCCTAAACCTCGTCTAGCTACCTGTAGTAAACCCAGCGAAGAAGGAAGGTTTAGTTTGATGTGAGGTTAGCAGCTATCCCCACCCCGCGCCATAAAATAAATAAAATAAAAATGCACCACTTCAAAACTCAAGGTCAACACCCCCGCATTAATTCACAGTATTTTACTGGGATGGCAAAGGAATCAGACATAAAAAAATCATTGAATAAAATTTTAGAGGTCTTTTAATGAGAAGGAAGTCAGTTCATCAGTAAACGACTTCGCTGATACCTTCTATCGGTACTGGAGTACAGGGGCTGGCTGGAAGAAAATGACCAGCAATCCTGAGGGTGGATGCGATGAATCAACCAAGAGTCCTATTGTCTAACATGTATGTAGAAGGACGAAAGGACTGAAAATATGCACTGACGAGACCGTTCAGTAACGTTGTACACTCAACACGCTCTCGACAAGGATGCTTAATACGTCTTATTTAGAACTCGTCGATGGATGTACCTGCATTCCACCCCACCTAAATGAGTGGTGAGTGGTGTTCCCCGACTGGGACTTCAGCCCACTATCCATCATCATCATCATCATCCGTCAATACTAGATCGTTTCTCTTGGCCCAATTGATCTAAAGGGGTTAACACTATGGCGGTGTTTGAAACGGTCGGCGCTAGGATCAAGTCTCATTTAGAATACCATCCACAATTTACTCACTCGTTGGTGAAAGGATTGGATGCAAGGATTCAAGTAAATCCTGCTAGCTGACGAGTTCCAAATATGACGAAGTGCCCACCTACGCGGATTTCATTCTAGACAGTGCCTCACTTTCGTTCTTCATCAGTTTGTTGTCGTTAATAAGCCGTTATGTTGTTGATATATCCATTTTTCAGAGTAATCAAACTGGTATTTTAAACAGAAAAAACCGGCTCAAATTGTTTCATTTAAAAGATCGTTATCTAATCATGAAACCAGATCCTCGCAAAAATACACACACACACTCACACATTGATAATTATATGCATTTAAAGGTATTCACAATTATTGCCTTGTGCTAATGTGAAGGTGTATCTTTGGGAGAATGTCGGTGGGTGGATGATTTTTAGATACATTACTGTGTGGTTATTCTTCCGCTGTTTTCCATCCAAGTTAATTCACATATCGATTAAATTTTAATTACATCATTTTGGTGTGGGAGAAATGTTGTCTCGGATTTTGTCAGTTAAATGATAATAATAATAATAATAACAATAATAATATAGTTGCTTTTTTCTGCAGCCTAGCAGGAAGTTGGATGATTATCAATAATAATAATTGCAGTCGTAATTTTATTGAGACAGCGAACATATTTATTATTCGTTTTGTTTAAATTTATCAGTGAGATTTATCGTGTTGGCGGGAATATAAATTTTAATTAGTTGGTGAAGTTTTCAAAAATAGCTGGCGTTGAATTAATGTGGTAGTATGTTATCCCATATTAATTTGTTTATTAGATATAGATACAGCACACAAACCCACACGCACATACGCACAGAGTGAAACA